CATATCCGGCAGTGGTGTCCACTAGCTGGTCCACCTTTGGTAGGGGGTAGTCATCCTTGGGACATGCCTTGTTTAGATCTGTGAAGTCTACGCAGACACGCCATTTTCCCCCCTTCTTCTTCGCGCAAACTGTGTTAGACAGCCATTCTGGGAACTGTATCTCTCGAATGGCGTTGGCCTTCAAGAGTTTGTCGATTTCTTCGTTGACCGCGCAGGCGTGATGCGGGGCCATGCGTCGTGGCTTCTGTTTGACTGGCTTGTGCTCCGGGTCAACATGTAGCTTGTGCGTGATTATCTCGGGGTCTACCCCTGTCATTTTCATTGCATTCCAAGCGAACACGTCCGCATTTCCCCTTAGGAACTCAATCATCTCCTCCTGTTCGGCTGCGGGCATCGCGGTCCCAACTAAGAAATATCTTTTTTCTTCTCCCTCCACCAAAGGCACCTTCCGGAGGTCCTCCACCGACCGCTCAGTTGGGTCTATCCAGGGGTTATCCATTCCTGGACGCCCGGACTGTGATTGCTATTTCTCCATGATCTCTTCCGGAGCTCGCCCCTTTTCTTGGGTGAACGCCCCGGCTCTAACAGCTGAATAAAAATAATTTTTTGCAGACGCTTGGTCCCCCCGAATCTCCATGATATCTTCTGGCGTGACAAATTTTAGTTTCTGGTGGTAAGTGGAGTGCACCGCTCCCAACGCATGCATCCATGTTTGTCCCATGATCACGTTGTAGGGAGAGTCCGTATCAATTACGACAAACTCGGTGTTGATGATGAAGGGACCCGTGACAACTGACAATGTGATTTTGCCTACGGGACAGGGCGAACGAGCCGTTGAATCCGATAAGGGGTGTCCTAACCTTGGTGAGGTCCTTGAGGCCAAGACTCATCCGTTTTAAAGTCTTGGAGTACATCACTTCCGAATNCGATGAGGGGTGTCCTGACCTTGGTGAGGTCCTTGAGGCCAAGACCTATCCGTTTTAAAGTCTCGGAGTACATCACTTCCGAAGAGCTTCCAGAGTCTATCAATACTCTTTTTACGTCGAATTTTCCTATCTTCAGGGTTATGACAAGGGCGTCGTTATGAGGAGTCACTACGCATGTCAAGTCCGCGTCGGAGAACGTGATGCTGGGCTCACTAGTCCTGACTCTTTTACTGGGTGGCCCCCCATCATCCTCGGCTACTTTCCTTGTAAAAGTTACCCTCTTGAGGTCGGACTCGAGTTCCTTGGATGTGGGGCGATCCAGGGGACATACATGGATGACATCTATGACGTTATCCGGCTCCTTGGTCGGGGCAAGGGTGTGTCTCTCTTCTAGCCTGAGCTCTATGTATTCTTTCAAGTATCCGTCTCGGACCAATCTTTCCAAGAACGATTTGTATACCTTGCAGCTTTCGGTGTGATGTCCGAAATCCCGGTGATAGGAACACCTAACCTTTTGATTATGGGTGGAGGGATCGCTCTGCATTCTGGGCGGCCACTTGAAGAACGACTCATGTTTGATTTTATGGAGCAACTTGAAGATGAGTTCCTTGAACATAGTGTTAACTCCTTTGGACGACCCCCTGGAGGGGGTAGCAATCCCTTTCGGGGAGTATCCTCCCGCTCCCTCTCTTTTCTCTTAGATTGGAGGGTTCGGCCTTTGCTGCTTCCCATCTCGTCCTCGATCCTTGAGTATTTGTTTATCCGGGCCATCAGCTCGCCCATATCCGAGGGAGTCTTCTTAGTCAAGGATCGGTACAGGTCCGTGTCCCTCGCCAAGCCAAGCCTAAAAGACGCCGCTGCCATGACTTCCGAGCAGCCTTCTACCTCATTAACCTCTTCCTAGTATCAGATGGCATACTGGCGAAGGGTCTCGGATTCCCTACGTCTGAGCGTTAGCAATGATCCAACGTCTTTGGGCCGCTTACTCCCCGTAATGAATCGAGCTAGGAACTGCCTCGTCAATTCCTTCCACGATCCAATACTGTTGGGGGGAAGCGCCTCAAACCACTTCATCGCAGAGTCCCCCAAGCTCATAGGAAACACTCGGCAGAAGAACCGTTGGTCCGAATGATAGAGGGACACCATCTGCTTGTATTGCCTGAGATGGGCTTCGGGATCGGACCGCCCGTCATAAGTTTTGAACCTCAGCACGACAAACTTTCTTGAAACCTCCATCTTTCTGGTAAAGGGTGTTTGTATAACCTCGTCTTCGACCTCATGCTGGATNCTGAGATGGGCTTCGGGATCGGACCGTCTGTCATAAGTTTTGAACCTCAGCACGACGAACTTTCTTGAAACCTCCATCTCTCCGATCTCCCGGGTAAAGGGTGTTTGTATGACCTCGTCTTCGACCTCATCCTGGACAGCCTTACTCTTTCTCCTGGATTCCAATCGGGCTCTGAGATCAATTTCCTCCCTGACGGGATGTTTTCTGAANTAAGTTTTGAACCTCAGCACGACGAACTTTCTTGAAACCTCCATCTCTCCGATCTCCCTGGTAAAGGGTGTTTGTATGACCTCGTCTTCGACCACATCTTGGACAGCCTTACTCTTTCTCCTGGATTCCAACCGGGCTCTAAGATCAATTTTCTCCCTGATGGGATGTCTTCTGAAGTCCTTGAGTTCATCACTAGGCCCCCCATTTCCTGGGCGCCGTGTGGATAGGGTAGAATCCTCCTCGGACTCATCTCCCTTCCTCCGTCTAGACAATCCTCGCCGGAGGTCGTCCAGGGCTAATGGCCTTGCCTGACTTGAATGGTCGTTAGGAGGGTGCTCGTTGGCTCTCGATCGCTTTGGGGCCTTCGAGCTTTCTGCCTTGTTGTTTAAATGATTCCTTAGATCCTTCGTTTTCGCCTCCCGGGCGGGGAACCCACGAGAAAGGAATGAGTCCCTCGACCCTTCGCCGAAGGCGGCAAATTTATTGAGCCGGTTTAGGACGTTTATATTGTCCTTTTCCAACTGTCGTAATCTATTNAGGGGACTTGTGACCCGATGGGTACGTGATCTCGGTAACAAGGATTAATGACACCGAAGACACGTGTCTTCATCTCGGAGTATTTCAGAAATGTCCCATCATATATCAAAAAATATTTCATTTATATTTGATTCGTTTATTAATTCTTATATAATGAATTGTATCATATCGAGTTGCTGTCGTTAATGAAACGTGTATAATCACTATATAAATTAGTCGTGCCACGTATNCTTTTCTTCGATCACCTCCGCCAGCTGACGAGCCAAGGGGGCTGATCCTCCTGACCTGATTCCCATACTGGTTTGAGGGGTAACCCCTCTTGACTAAGTAGAGGCATTTTTATTCCCATCNTCGTATCATATCGAGTTGCTGTCGTTAATGAAACGTGTATAATCACTATATAAATTAGTCGTGCCACGTATTTTTTTTAATTGATTTCATTCAAATCTAATTCGTTTATTAATCGTGTTGTGTCGGGTTTATTTATTTAAAAAACAAATAGTTTAAATAAGACTCAAATCTTCTAATTTCGTAGCATGTTAATAAATCGTGTCCTACCGACTACATTTATAGTGCCCGTTTATAAATGGGGTACAAATGCTTGGACTTCTTTTTGTGNTAATTGATTTAATTCAAATTTAATTCGTTTATTAATCGTGTTGTGTCGGGTTTATTTATTTAAAAAATAAGTAGTTTAAATAAGACTCAAATCTTCTAATTTCGTAGCATGTTAATAAATCGTGTCCTACCGACTATATTTATAGTGCCCGTTTATAAATGGGGTACAAATGCTTGGACTTCTTTTGTCGGGTCAAAAGTAAAACCAAACCCGGTTTCAGCGAAAAACAGAAAATACTGGGTCGGTTAGCTCCACCGCAAATTCATACGGATTGACCGACTTGGATCAGAATATACTGCCTCCCTTGATAAGTTGTATCGGCAAAGCAGAAGTAAAAACATTCATCAACTAAAAAAAGCCATAAATTCTCTCTGTGTCTCACTCTTTCAAGCGACGACGATCCGTGACCAAAAGAAAAGGTCAGTTCTTCTCTCTCTCTCTCTCTCTCTCTCTCTCTATATATATATATATATATATTCTTTTCGTCCTCTTCGTCTTTTTCTACCTTTGTATGGAAGAATTGAAGACAGAGGTACAGACCAAGGTTTTTCCATAGGAAACGAATCAACTTGGAGGGTNGGAATAGGTACATCTCGGAGCCGAGGAATAGGTACATCTTGAAGCCGAGAGGGGGAGGCCTAGCGACTGATGTACCATATCAGACCGAGGGTACGTGTCTGTACATAAAAACGTACTGGATGTCACTCGATCCCCATGATCAGTACCTCGAGGGAGAGGGGACTTGTGACCCGATGGGTACGTGATCTCGGTAATAATGATTAATGACACCGAGTACACATGTCTTCATCTCGGAGTATTTCGAAAATGTCCCATCATATATCAAAAAATATTTCATTTATATTTGATTCGTTTATTAATTCTTATATGATGAATCGTATCATATCGAGTTGCTGTCGTTAATGAAACGTGTATAATCANGAAATGTCCCATCATATATCAAAAAATATTTCATTTATATTTGATTCGTTTATTAATTCTTATATAATGAATTGTATCATATCGAGTTGCTGTCGTTAATGAAACGTGTATAATCACTATATAAATTAGTCGTGCCACGTATTTTTTTTAATTGATTTAATTCAAATTTAATTCGTTTATTAATCGTGTTGTGTCGGGTTTATTTATTTAAAAAATAAGTAGTTTAAATAAGACTCAAATCTTCTAATTTCGTAGCATGTTAATAAATCGTGTCCTACCGACTATATTTATAGTGCCCGTTTATAAATGGGGTACAAATGCTTGGACTTCTTTTGTCGGGTCAAAAGTAAAACCAAACCCGGTTTCAGCGAAAAACAGAAAATACTGGGTCGGTTAGCTCCACCGCAAATTCATACGGATTGACCGACTTGGATCAGAATATACTGCCTCCCTTGATAAGTTGTATCGGCAAAGCAGAAGTGAAAACATTCATCAACTAAAAAAAGCCATAAATTCTCTCTGTGTCTCACTCTTTCAAGCGACGACGATCCGTGACCAAAAGAAAAGGTCAGTTCTTCTCTCTCTCTCTCTCTCTCTCTCTCTCTATATATATATATATATATATTCTTTTCGTCCTCTTCGTCTTTTTCTACCTTTGTATGGAAGAATTGAAGACAGAGGTACAGACCAAGGTTTTTCCATAGGAAACGAATCAACTTGGAGGGTTTTACTGGGAACTCGTGAGCTCTTCTTGTAACTTCATTGCGGACTTGGGGTTCAGCAGTGTTCAAATGCCTTTACTTTCTGAGCGCGAACACACACTTCTCTCTCTGTCTCTCTCATACAGATAGACATTGTTGAGGCTCTGCCGTCATGTGTTTCTATTCGCTCATCTATTCAATTCCCGAGTACTCCACTTGATTGCAACTATGATAATCGGATTTATGCTGGTATAAATGCTTTGTCTCATGGGAATTGGTTTTCGGCTTCTGGTTTCCCATATCATTGGCTAATATACTGGGTGTTGTTTGTTTCTTCTTGGCGGATTGCCAAGCAAGAAACTTTGAAAGCTTACTTTGGTCTCTTTTTTTCTTCTTCATCGTGGTCTTCCTCTTCTTCGTTCTATTTCTGTCCTCTCCTCCTTTTTCTGTCACCCTCTTTTTTTCAATTTAGTTGGACACTGCTTCTTGTCCTTTCTATAGCCTCCCTAGACCCAACGGTCACCCACCCTACAAACCTCTCAGCTTTGCTGCTGTTGATTCTTGCTGAATTTGTGTTGAATTATTGCTGGAAGTACGGGCTTGGCTTTGGCATGCTGTGTTTTGCTAATAATTGCTATCTAATCGCTAATATGCTGTATTAGACCAAAAATTTTACTTGTCCTGCTGCTAATTTTTGTATTGTAAGTGTTTAATTGGGTCAAATTAAGCTAGAATGGGGTTGTTTTAGATTGCTGAATGAGCCCAGACTTAGGTGTCTAGGCTGCATATTTATTTGGCTCAGGGCCATGCCTAGCCGAGCGACCAAAGCACCTTTGTATCCTTTAAGACTTTAGCAATAATGATTGTACTTTCAGCATCGGCTCAATATAGAAACTCGCACCTCGGTTTTTTTTAAGAAATAATTTATAAAATATATCACATTCTGTTATAGTGCTTTTGTCATGCAACTCGGGTGGTTATCTTCTTGTATTGGTTTTTCTTTTTGTTTGATTTCTTGAGCAGTGATTGTTATGCTCAGTTTGGTTTCCGGGAAGATGAAGGAAATGAATTTGAAAACCTTTTTTGGGCATCGTGAGCCGAACTTGTGCTTGTAATTTGAGCTCAGGTTGAACGCAAGCTAGTGTATCTGGGGTTCAAGTAAGATTGATACTTGGGCTCAGGCAGACTCTGCTACTGCTTGGACTGATACTGGGCTCATCCCCAACCCAACTCAACCCATCTGTTTTGCAGCCTTACTCTAATCCTCACACAGGAACATTGTGTACACCACTCATAGATCATTGAAATGTGGGTACAAAAAAATATCAATATAAAAGTTGTGATAATGTGTTGGTAGAGAATGGTCATGGTTGCAATGATCTGTGACCTGTTTTGGTGCATGTTTAAATATTCACTTCTCTTTATTTTGTATGGCCTACGATGTAAGATGTATGGGTAGGCAATGTAGACTGACCTTGTGTCTTGCTGTGATGGTAACTTGGTGTATTTTATGGTAAATCAAATATCGTGTCTAGATTCACCCCAACTTATGGCCATCATATTTGGGGAAAAATGTCAAATGATAGATTACTCAATAACTAACTACTTATGTATTTTATTTTGTCACTTTAATTGCAGTCGGAATAATGCCCAAGTTGAAGACAAACCGTGTCAAATACCCTGAAGGTTGGGAGCTGATTGAGCCTACTCTCCGTGAACTGCAAGCAAAGATGAGAGAAGGTTTTCATTTGTTTCTTGTTATTCACAACTTCCTTTGCTTTTTACTCTGTCTCTAGATCTTGCATAACTAATGGTTTTATCTTCGTTATTAATTTGTTGGCAGCCGAGAACGATCGACATGATGGCAAAAGAAAATGCGAGATGTTGTGGCCTATTTTCAAAATAGCTCATCAGAAGAGCCACTACTTCTTTGACCTTTACCACCGGAGGAAGGAAATATCCAAGGAATTGTATGAGTTCTGCTTGGACCAAGGCTATGCTGATCCCAATCTAATTGCTAAGTGGAAAAAGGTCTGTCTCACCTCCTTGTTTGAAATTTCCCGCTTGGTGTTCTCTCCTTCACTTTCCTATTTGTGTTGTTCTAATTTGGTTTTAAACCATATAGGTATTTGGGGTTTAACAACTGTAATTTTTCTCTCCCAAGTTCATGGTAGCAATCCAGAATATTGCAATTAATCTGCAAAATTTCTTGAATTTCTGCAAGAATGTGACATGAATATGAGTGCAATGGACGTACCCAATGCATGAGCTCCCGCCATTGCGGGACTTGGGGTGGGTGAAATGTACGCAGTCTTACCCCAATAAGGAGAGAGGCGGTTCTGCTTTCTTAATAAGAAGGTTAGATGAATATGTGTGTAATGACTAATGCATTTTTAATACAAACAAGTGCCTGATAAAATCAGGATCTGACCTGGATCTCGATAACAGAAGAACAATATAGGGGTGTGGTGCAATTTTAAGACTTTAAGTAGTTGTTTATCAGTGGAAAATATATAGTGAAACTGCGTGATCTGTGCTTAATGAATAAGGTGTCAAGCATCAGTCATAATGGCCTGTGTTTGAACTTTGAATTGCAGCCTGGTTATGAACGACTTTGCTGTTTAAGATGCATGCAACCACGCGATCACAACTTCCAAACCACATGCGTCTGCCGAGTTCCAAAGCACTTGAGGGAGGAGAAAGTAATAGAATGTGTACATTGCGGTTGTAAAGGCTGTGCAAGTGGAGATTGATCAGCTATGTTCCAATGAACAGGCTACAGATGATCCGACTCCTATCCTTGTATTTTGACTCCTAAATATAATTGACCTGTCTGCCTTCTCAAAAAATATATAATATTGAGTCATATGTATTGGAGGTTTGAGTTCTCTTCGCGGAAGCTTGTTGGACTTGGCTACTGGTGTTACCATGTATGTAGTTAGGTCTTTGTTACTGGCAAACGTTTGTCATGAATATTGATCTTGCGTTAATGCATGTTCAAAAATTTCTGACTCTTAAACATTCCAAGTTTCCATTGAGGTCTTGACTGGATTTATTGTCTTCTTGACAAGTGTACTGGTTTTTGATGTCTTGATGCTTCAGTATAAATCTGAGTACACTTATGCTGCATGAAGAGTGAAACTGATTGATCCCAGTAGACAGATTTCTAATTGGGTGGTGGAGGCTGGGCTTCTTACTGTCATGGAGTCACCTTTGCCTTAATTTATTAGAGGGTTTTTGTTTACTCGGTTATTGATGTACTAGTTATTGTTCATGTTTGAAGGCGTGAAGTAATAAAAAAAATTGTTAATCATAATTATATTTGTATTCACACTCAACATCAAATCACAAATATAGAGAAGAAAAAATGAATTTAAGCACTAGTTGTAAGGGGGCGGTTATGGTGGATGGCGACAATCGTGATGGTGGTGGTAGTAGCCATGGGTGATAACAGTGGTGTTAGTGAGTTTTGGGTGACGATAGTGGTGTTGGTGAGTTTTGGGTGGTAGCCATGAGTGACGACGATGGTGGCAGGGGTGAGTGGACGACGGTGATGGTGGGTGATAGTGGTGGTGGCGATAGGGGGTTGTGGTGGTGGACAGTGACAATTGTGGTGGTGGGTGTGAGTGGTGGTCGGTGATGACAGTGGTGGTGAGTGGTGGCGAATGACGGTAGTGGTGATAGGTGTGGTGGAGGTGGGTGGCGGTGGTGACAGTGGTGGGCGATGACGAGTGGTGGTGATGGTAGATTTGGTGGGGGTGGATGACAATGGGTGGCAACAACGATGGTGGTGGGTGGTAGTGGGCGACGGCAGTGATGGGATGATTGTGGTAGTGATAATAAATATATAAATAAGACGATGATAATGGTGGACGACGACGGTGGTGGTGGTAATGGTCGGGTGGTGACAGTGGTGGCGGGGTAGTGGCAACGGTGGTGGGGCAGTAGTGGTGGTGAAGTGTTTTGTAGAGAAGTGATTTTAAAAAAGTAAAATTTTTAATTTTTTTTTACTTTTACTTATTTATTTAAGTGGTAAAACTAATTTTGATATATTTGGAGGTAATTAAATTAAGCTATTTCAAATACTAATTTTTTTTAAAGTNTAAAATTTTTAATTTTTTTTAACTTTTACTTATTTATTTAAGTGGTAAAACTAATTTTGATATATTTGGAGGTAATTAAATTAAGCTATTTCAAATACTAATTTTTTTTAAAGTGTTTATGAGAAGTTATAAGTCATAGAAGTACTTTTAAAAAGTCACCTCAAATATACTTTTAAGTGATATATTTTCTCTATTAAATTTAAAAAATTAATATTAGTTGTCGGATTAACTTTAAAGTAAAATTTAAAACAATCTAAAGCGCGAACAGCTTTCCTTTCATCGGAATGAGAGCTCCCCCTAGCTTAGGGATTTTTTGAGATTCCATTCTCATCTGTCCTTCCCTTAGCCCATACCTAAACCTTTGTGTATCCCAAAACAGTGAGAGCTGTTGGCAATTCCAAGGAAGATCGCTTTGTCTTCTACTTATCATTTACTCTCCTCTTCCTGTTGTACACTCTACCTACCCACCCATTTACTTTTTTTAGTCTGAGTCATATTCTCTTAGGGGGTTCCTTCCCATTACCCAATGCCATTTAGTTCTTCGAAGCAGAGGTTCACATCGGAAAGTTCCAGAGATTGTAAAGCCCTAACGACTACTCACATCCCTACCCCCTCTCTTCTGTCTTACCCTCTCACCATACTCCCTTATCCCATAGTCACTGAGCTCTTTTCTATGTGACCACCTAAACCCTTTTCCCCAACTTTCTCTCAGTCTGGCTTTTTAAGCTAAGCTACGCCAAGTATCCATGTCGTATTTACCCAATATATATATATCCACATTTGATATACTACTGATTCATATTCTATAAAACCAATACCCCCAAATCGCCAAATCCCTCACTCTGTTACTTCTTCATAGTCATTTGCTCTGTTTGTTTTTGATCCTATTACCCTTCTGAATATCTACCATCATCTATACTTCCCATGGAGAAAGATTTAGAAGCTGAATCCCACTTCATCCACAACCCACACATTTCCCTCTACACAGAGCCCTCCACCTTAAAGATGATTGAGAAATTTTGTCTCATTGGTCGTTTTTTCATAGAGACAACCCTTAATAAGTAGGGGGTATGTAATGTGTTGCAGAGTTCCTAGAAGACCTCTACAGGGTTTTCTATCACTTACTGGAAAAGAAACACCTATTTGTTTATGTTTAAAGATGAGGAGGATAGAGATAAAATTCTAAACGAAGGTCTATGGTCTGTATATGGGGCTCTACTGGTGTTGAAGTTGTATCAACCACAGTGCATTATAGGGAATTTTGATTTCCAACTAGTTGAGTTTTGGGTCCAAATTTGGGGATTACCTCTTGACATGATGACAAAAAATAACTCATGGAGAATAGGTATGACAATAGGCAAGCCAACCCAACTAGAGAAGTTTGAAGGAGAAGTCCAAATCCAGTGGAGCTTTTTGAGGGTAAAATGCAGGATCAATCTAACTGAACCCTTGAAAAAGGGATTCTTCTTGACCCGGGATAACCAGGACGATATTTGGATCAGATTGAAATACGAGAGACTGTCTGACTTCTGTTACCAGTGCGGTCGGATTGGCCATTCACAAAGTCACTGCAAGGATAGGTGGGCATTTGGATCTAACGACCAGTATGGGCTGGAGTTACGAGCGCAAATCAGCCAACCTGGGGATATTTTCAGGGAAACATGGTCCTTAAGAGCACGTGAGGAGTTGGAGAAGAAGGATAAGCTCAAAGAAAAGGTACATGTGACCGATTGGGATGTTGAACCTGCGAAATGTAGGGGATAAGGAGGGAGTAGGAAGGCAAATGAAGAATCATTCGACACCCCTAACGACCAGTAGGGAGACGTGTCGAGGCCCTAAGCTAGGAATGAGGTACGTACCAGACTAGAACAAAAAAGCGGATCCCATAGCCATGCACCACCTCTCTCGGTGATGCCATATTCTGGTGGGGACTAGGAATGGGACTAGTCCCTCTCTTTGTCCCTGTCTGATTTCCAAGAAGACCCAAACACAATAGTTGCAGTCAAGAGAGGATCCTATTTTGTGTGTGAGCCCACTGATAGTATGGAAACCCAGGAGTCCAATAAAAGGGAGGTCCATATATTATCAGATAGTGAAGAGGAGGAAATGGATGATGATATGGAGACCCACTTCCAGAATTTGTTGCTTAAAAGGAAAGCCCAGTTGGAAAACGCTAGTATTGAAGCCCACTCAATGCCATGGAAAAGATTCAAAAGCATATTCGGACAGCGACCCAAGTGCTCCCCATCTTTTCCTACCCTTTTTTGGCCCTCCACTGGCTATTGATATGTCTTTAGTAAATTTTGGGAGGAACCATGCAACAAGAAAATGGGCTAGGAGGAGTAAGCCCAAAAGGAAAGTGAGCGTTGAAAAATTGACGAATTCTGAACTGTACTTCCCCTATCTAGAGAATGCTGAAGAACAGGTGCAACAAAACCTAGAGGAGGGGAACAATGATCTTACTGAAGGGAAAAGAGAGAGCAACCTCAATAGATGTATGTCACAGTGGATTGCTCATCCTCCCAGAGGGGTATTAGATAAGGGTGGTGCAACTAGTCGGTCTGATAAGGTGGTGGTGGCTGACCTTAAACAGCCACACGACTCATGTTGATGCTCACTTGGAACTGTCAGGGAATGGGACGATCCCGGACAGTCCGCAATCTTAGAGGGCTTATCACTACCCATCGTCCCTCAATCATTTTTCTTATAGAGACTAAAAACAAAGTTTGATAAATTGGAGCGGTTGAGAAGATCTTTGAATTTTCTTTGTTCTGAGTACGTGGATCCTGTGGGCCTTTTTGGTGGCCTAGCTTTATGGTGGAAGGAGGAAACTAACTTGCTGGTCCTAGACAAAAGCAAGAATCTGATCAATGTTAGAGGCACAGTAAACCATCAACAAGATATGTGACACTGCACCTTTGTTTATGCTGACCCAACGGTTGAAAAGAGGAAGAGAACTTGAGAGAAGTTGATTGGTATGACGAGGTCCATTGACATGCCCTAGATGGTAGCTGGGGATTTTAATAACATCGATTCTTTGGATGAAAAGGAAGGAAGCGCTACCAACAGTTTAAGGAGGGTAGAGGAAATGCAACAATTAATCTTAGAATGCTGTCTCATAGAGATGAGTTTTAGCGGGCCCAAATTTACATGGTCTAACAATAGGTCAGGTGCAACTAATGTCCAAGAACGTATTGATAGAGTCCTTGTGAACCTTGATTGGAGTGCTCTCTTCCCCTCAACATCGGTGCTGCATGAAGCTAGAATGGGGTCTGATCACTGCCCAATCGTGATTAACCTAGGGCTAAATGCTAAGAAAAGCCCCCATTATTTTAAGTTCAAAAGCATGTGGTTGGAGGACTCAGATTGTGAAGAGGTGGTTAAAAGAAACAGGACCATGAGACGGTCCCAAATTCAGTGGTTCATAATACCATCAACAACCTGAAATCGTGCNGAGGTGGTTAAAAGAAACAGGACCATGAGACGGTCCCAAATTCAGTGGTTCATAATACCATCAACAACCTGAAATCGTGCAGAAATCATCTAATGGAGTGGAGCAGGCAAAAGTTTGGGAACCAAAAGAAACTGATTCATATGTTGAACAAGGAGTTAATCCAAGTCCAGATGCAGGAGCCATCAGAGGATAATTTGATTAAGGAAGCATAGATGTGTGCCTAGATTGATGCAGTAAGATGTAGAGAAGAAAAGTATTGGCTGCAGAGATCAAGGATCAATTGGTTGAAAGACGGGGATCAAAACACTAGATTTTTCCATTTGTTTACCATTTAGAGAAGGAGTCGTAATTAGATTGTCAGGCTAAAAAATGATGATGCTGACTGGATTGAAGGAGAGGAGGAGATTAACTCCCATATCAATGGCTACTTTTAGAATTTGTTTAGCACAATGGGGGAAAGAGACTGGTTTGAGGCGCTGATGGCGGTGCAAACCAAAGTTACGGAGGAAATGAAGCGAGATT